CACTGACCGTGTTTGCAGAGACACCTCCAATGCACATGCTGGACTCGGAGCCATTTTTGCCCATACTTTATCATACAAGCCAGAATCACCCTCATGGGAAGCCCTGAGATCTATGCATCTCTGTCCAATTTGCCAATGTTGTGTAGTCGCCTTCCCAGCATCCTACGGAGATCTGCCGATGCCATTTTCTGTGCAAACGGGAGTAGCTGAAATGGAACAGCAGGTACTGTGACTTCGTGTACCTTACTTCTGAAAATGCCGTTAGGACAGCTTGGCTTGTACCAAGCTTCTGGTACTTCTCTAGTACCAGAAACCAGATAATTCATGCCCTAAAATGTTAGCAACCTTGAAGGCAACATTGCTGAGCCAAGGCCGCTTCTGCAGAGCAGGTGGCTTCCCCAAGGACAGGCGTGGAAGGTTTTCCCTCAAACGCATGACTGTCCCTGAAGCAGTTATGAACATGAGGATCATCAAGTCCCTGGAAAATATACTCAAAAAAGTGATTTCCCCCCATAGAGAACATGTTTCAGTCTGTCACAACTCAGTATTGTCAGAAAGAAAGATACTTGCTTGGGACTTATAAGACACATGGGGCAAAAATTGCCCTTGCTCAGCAGGGCTGGTGACACCATCTGTCCTTTGAAAAAAATCTCTTCCTCAGGAGGGATAAAGAACCACAGAGATGCTGCCCACCTTGGCTGGAAGTGTTGCGCCATGATGCTGGTATCTTGGGACCCTGGTCCCTGGCATCTTGGGTTGGCCTCAGAGGGTCACTGGTGACCCTTCAGGGGACAATAGAAAAGGATGTTCACAGGCCAATAGAATGTAAATAGGAGGGAAGCAGGGTCGTGGAGAGAGGGTCTACAGTACCATGTGCATAGCCAAAGTATACGTCAAGGCCATGATTCTGCCCTCCCTCTGTTCCTTCCTCCTCTTCTCCACTCCACTGACTGCTCCTGGTGGTCAGCAGGTGGACGCAGAGGCCTGGGGGACAAAGCTGGGACCAGCTTGGAGCTGGCTTGATGCCTGGCAGCCTCCATCCCACACCTCAAGCGCTCTGTCCGGCGGCTCCACAACACGTCCTGGTGGTTTACAGGTGAAGTGGGCAGATGTGAGATATTACTGGAATGTCATGTAGTTCTTGGGTTCTGGCCTTAAGAATGGGAGTGATAACAGTGTTTTCTTGGCATTAAAATATTAGTTGTTATCTTGACTTGATTACCCGAAACAGAGACGAATTCTGCATGTATAGTTTCCATTCTGAAATACCAATGGTAGATTTAAAAATTTCAAACAACAACAAAAACTGTCTCCCTTTTCTCAAAAAGAGCATTCCTGCATATGGTGGGCACGTGTGGATGACTCACTCTGTTCCTGCCGCCCACAGGCCCCCTCTCCTGCAAATCATTCTGGAGCTTAATGAGCTTTTCTGGATTAAATAAGCGCTTTTCTTTTTCCATTTTATTAAGAATTGACATATGCGGAGAGACCCAGCCTCTTCTAACTTTATTCTGAGACCTCATTGTGTTTGTAATGAAAGAGGCACATTTTACAAAACAGACGCCTGTCAAAGTTATAACTTTCATAGTTCAACACTGTACACACAGGAGGATGAAGTCTAGATGAAACCTGGGCCACATGGATGCGTTTGCTCCGAGATGTCAGCGTGTGAGCAGGGGCAGCGGGAGGTGGAATATGTATACGGATCAACATGGCTACGTGAAAGAGGGGCACCGTTCTTCCCCAGGCCCCTGTCAGCTCTGCTGTGTCCCTGGCCCCGTCCTGTGTCTGCCTGACACGTCCTCCATGGCCAGGGCCCTCCCATGTGACCCCTGAGCCTCCACCACCCTCCCTCCAGCCTGGAGCTTCTTCCTCTTCCTCTCTTCTTCCCTCTCGCTTTAGTCTTGATGCTGACTGACGCTGGCCTGAGTTTGTACTGATCACAGCCCTGGAAACTCTACTGAACCTTTTTATTTCCCTCCCAAAGATATTGAGTTCAACCCACAGGTTGCAGCCACTAGCACCCTGCCCCTTCCTCCGCCTGCCCTCCCTAACGCCATTGTCTCTGTTCCAGGTGAAATGATCCTCTGAGGCTGACGAAGCCAAGGCTCTCTCCACACCGCCCCTGAGACGTGGTTTAGAGTCCACCGAAGGAGGCGCACTGGTGGCTTTACTGGCTTTCTTTCCAAAAGGAGAGCGACAGGCTGGTTGCTAAGCAACACACATGCCCTGGCTTCTTTTTTTTTTTTTTAGCGTATTATGGGGGTACAAGTGTTAAGGTTACATATATTGCCCATGCCCCCCTCCCCACTGCCCTGGCTTCTTTTAACAACATGGACTGTTAAAAAAAATCAACAAACATTTGTCCATATGATTGAGTCATAAGTCACGTGGAGTACACAGGGCAAACAGCTTGACGTCACAGTATTATAGCCTTTTATTCTGTCTTTGGTATATTTCCCTGAGGACTTACACAAGGTCACATGGAGAAACGGGGGACAGGGAGGTGCCTTCGGCTGCATGAATGGATTAACAAGACTTGTCATGGGGAACTCCATCCTACCATGGGTGCTCAGAGTTTGCAGACTCTGTGTTCGCAAACGCAATATGGCGGCGGCTTCAGTCATTTGCAGACATGCACAGGGCGTGGAAACTTTGAGTCATTTGATGCTCATGGACCCAGCTGAGGTGGAACAGGTGAAGCTCTGCCTTCGTGTTTCGACTCTCATACTGTACACAAGTGTCTTTTCTGCAGTCTCTTTAGCGCCATGTTTTTTACATTTTTGTTCTTGTTGATGGCAGTTTTTCTGTTTAAAATAGCCCCCAAGTATAGTGCTGAAGTGCTGTCTAGTGCTCCCAAACACAAGAAGGCTATGAATAAGCCACATCATATTTTCTCATATTATCGAGAAAATATGTGCACTCGATACCTTTTTCAGGCACGAGCGACAGTGCTGTTGGCTGTGAGTTGAGTGCTAATGAATCAATGGTGCAGTACATCCAGAAAAAAGAAGGGGAAATTCTTGATTTCTGTCTTAGGCCACTGCAGCCAGTGCTAAGGTGACATCTGCGGTATTAATGAAGCTATGGTAGAGATGAAAAAGTAGTTGAATTTGTGGATTCATGAGATGACAATTTTTTAAAAGCATAACAGATAGCATTGTTGTAAGACTGAACACCAAAGAAATTTATGATCATGTTATCCAAGGGCAAGAAAATATTAAACCTATTTTTAGCTAGTATTTTATTATGAAGAAATACCACATATAATTTCTCATTTGTAAGAAATGGGTATACAGTAAGGTGTCTAATCAACAGGGTTATGTATTGACCAGTTGACAAAAACAATGTGACCAGAGGTTCATAGGACCCTAAGCTGTACATGTAAGAACAATGGCCCAGTACTCACTAATTCAGTGGTCACAGGCGTGTATGGAATATAACTACCATGAATAACAAGGCCTGACTGTATGTGACAACCTAACATGAGGGAGCCCATCGTCCACTTCCCACGTGGAAGAGGAAGCCCAGGCCTCACCCAGGCGCAGTGTCCCTGCTGAGAAGGCCTGCCAGGAACGGGACTTGACTTCCCCATTGAGTGGTGGTATCCATGATGCATTAGCGTATTATGGGGGTACAAGTGTTAAGGTTACATATATTGCCCATGCAGGATATGGATACATTTTAGATACATTTTGAAGGGAGTTAAATGTTTACAGCCACTTTTATCGCTGATTATTTTGCTTGAAGGGAAGCCCTGGTACACTCTTAAATTGCTCTGGAACTGAGCCATAGTGAGCCCAGTGTCCCTGAACTGACACTTTAATTGGTCCCAGATGGGAGGGAAAAACTATCGCCAGTACACTGCAGTCTCCCCTCCCTGAAGCCGGATGCAGGTCACGTTTGAAATGGTCTCATCTCTGCCAGCAGTGGCCTGCGTCTCCCAGAGCCCGCTGAGCTGGAGGTCCCTCTCCAGGGAGCTTTGCAGGGGATGGCAGACTCACAGCCTGACGGGACATGGACGTGAGGACAGGCTCCTCTCGTCTGGCGTTACAAACGCGACACAGACATACGAACACGGGGCATGGGAAACAGAGGCTACGTCTGCTTCAGCATCCGGAGATGAAATGACATTTGGCAGCAGCTGAGAGGATAGGTGCTCTTGATGAAGTAAGCAGAGGCCTTTTAAAAACAAGGCAGGACAAATGTTGGGACAAGTATATGAGTGGAAAAACCTGAGCCATTCCTCCGGGTCAGTTCTTAAAGACCTACAAATGCCAAGTGCAAACCCTGGGCCTCACTCTCACCACTAGGGCAGTGGCCCCACAAGGCTCCTCCGAAGTCCCCAGAGGAGACCTTTCTGCAGAAAGCTCTGCTTTGCGTGGCTGCTGGAGTGCCTGGGCCTCTGTGTTTCTCCCTTGTCGTTGTGAATGTGACTGCCATTCTTCCATTGGTACTAGGTGCAAATAGGAGAGTTAAGAGACAACAACAATAAAGTGCTCGCAACTCCTGGCAAAAGAAACGTTGCGTGTATTATAACCGCAGAGATCTTCAGTGCACGTTCATGGTGGGGCCGGCTTTTCATTGCAGGGTTGTCTGTGTGTGGAAACTCAGGGAGATGGGATGTTTGTGAGTTAGCATGTGGCCCATCACCAGTCACAAAGCCATTTTCTCTTGATCTCTTCCTCTCGTTTCTATTCCCAGGCCTCGTTATGTGTGGTGTCATATGCACGCACACAGGCACACCCCATCCCGGGGACAAAAGTACCAAGGGAGGCGCTTTGCATGAATTCCCTCCTTGGGGTTAGAAGCACTTGCTCAGTGCTTGCCAACTACAAATAGCCCATGCTGGAAATTGATGCTAATTGGTATGCCATTATAAAAACGGGGGGAGACCAGCACCCACAACAAAATAGCCGTGTACAGACCTGGAGTCCTACCCTGACAGCCGAAGTGAAGCATGGCCCACTAATGCAGGCTTAATCCACTTTGCTTGGCAGAGAGAGCAAGCTCACCATGCTGCTGCGGGAGTCCCTGGGGAACATGAACTGTCGCACCACCATGATCGCTCACATCTCGGCCGCGGCCGGGAGCTACGCGGAGACCCTGTCCACCATCCAGATTGCATCGAGAGTCTTGAGGATGAAGAAAAAGAAGACGAAGGTAAGGAGTTTGCAGGGGGTGCAGAGGATAAAGGAGCTTTTGAAGCCTGCCCTGAACCTGAGTCCGAACAAGCCAGATCACTGTTGCTCATGCCCGGCACCAGGGGCGTGTATCTGGGGCTGCCCACGCCTGGCGCGGCGGCTACCTCTGGGCAGGGACACCTTCAGGCTGATATGGAATAAAGTCAGGTCCCCTCCCCACAGCTGGAGCTGTCCCTGGTCATCTACCCTGGACCCTGGACAGGGTGCATTTGTTCCTCTTCAGGTAGTGCAAGTGGATGCCACTGTGAGATGGAAACATGTTGGAGGGATGGGAGACATTCACAGGTTTTCTCTTGCCTGCCTCAGTCCCATGTAGAAGAAGTCTGTGTCCTTTGAGGGGCTGGCTCCCCAGGAGATGACGAGCCCCTTGCTCACGGTGCCCCCGCCCCTCGCATTCCCGGGAGTCAGGCTCCGGCTGCTGGGTCATCGTGTTCATCCCGAGGTTTCTGGATGACACTAAGAGTCTGCTGGAAATCACTGGGCTTGTTTCTTCAGCCAGAGGCAAAGGCAGGATGGTGGTAGCGTGACAGGCGTTTGAGAACGTCATTGCAGCTGTGGTCACTCCGACCCTGGGCAGCTGGTGATGTGTGGGGCTGCTTCTTCCTTCTCCTTTTTTGTACCCTTTTTTTTTGGTAGAAAATGGGGTTCACAACCGGTGTTCCATAGGACAGGGCACCAGAGCGGCAGCCCCTCAGCCCCTAGAAGGTCAGACGGCCCGGGCTGGTCACCTCCTTTCAGGAGCAGCCTCCATGTCCCGTGCGCTGTGCGGGGATTGCCCTTCACACACGCAGCCATGCTGGGGCGCACTGCATGGCACACCGCAAGTTAGCGGCCTCCACCCTCGCCACACAGCGTTGGGCTCCGCGGGAGGGCAGCTTTGGAAGAGGCACGTACTAACTCTTCTCTCACGCACAGTACACGTCCAGCTCCTCCGGCGGGGAGAGCTCCTGCGAAGAAGGCAGAATGCGCAGGCCCACCCAGCTGAGACCCTTCCACACCAGGGCCGCGGTGGACCCCGACTTCTCGATCGCCCACCTGTCCAGTGACCCCGACTACTCCTCCAGCAGCGAGCAGTCCTGCGACACCGTCATCTACATCGGGCCCAACGGCACAGCTCTCTCTGACAAGGAGCTCACTGACAACGAGGGTCCCCCGGACTTTGTCCCTATTGTACCAGCCCTGCAGAAGACCAGGGGCGACAGCCGGCCCGTGGAGGCAGGAGAGGCGGCAGCCAGCAAATCCGAAAGGGACTGCCTAAAGTGCAACACGTTCGCCGAGCTGCAAGAGAGACTAGACTGCATCGATGGCAGCGAAGAGCCCAGTAAGTTTCCTTTTGAAGAACTGCCTGTCCAGTTTGGCGCAGAGCAGGTGAGCAAGTGCCCCCCATTGAGCCAAGCGGCTGGAGCAAGCCCCCTCTCGGAGTCTGACAAGGAAGACAATGGGTCTGAAGGCCAGCTGAGCGACAGAGAAGGCGCAGAGCCCCCGGCCTCCAAGATGCAGAGGAGTCGCTCACCTGTGCCTGCTGCCATGGCCCCCACCCCCGGCCCCGGCCCCGCCTCGCCCAGGAGCGTCCCGGGCGGCAGCAGCCAGCACGGCGCAGCCCCGCTCGCGCACAGCCCCAGCCTCCAGAGCAGCCGGGAGAGCCTGAGCTCCTGCGGCTTTGTGGATGGCAAGCCCCGGCCCATGGGCTCCCCACGGCTGGGCATCGCCAGCCTGTCTAAGACCTCAGAGTACAAACCACCCAGCTCTCCTTCCCAGAGGTGCAAAGTCTACACCCAGAAGGGGGTCCTGCCGTCTCCTGCGCCCCTGAGCAAGGATTCCGGCACCGCATCCAGCGAGTCCTTGCTGCAGCCCGAGGTTCGTACCCCCCCGGTTGGAATGAGCCCCCAGGTTCTGAAGAAATCCATGTCTGCTGGAAATGAAGGGTTCCCAGAGACCCTCGTCGATGACGAGCATCAGGCGGAAACTCCTCCTGACTCTAAGAAGGAGATCCTGAGCACCACGATGGTGACGGTGCAGCAGCCGCTGGAGCTGAACGGCGAGGACGAGCTGGTGTTCACGCTGGTGGAGGAGCTGACCATCAGCGGGGTCCTGGACAGCAGCCGCCCCACCAGCATCATCAGCTTCAACAGCGACTGCTCCGTGCAGGCTGTGGCCTCGGGCTCCCGGCCCGTCAGCATCATCAGCAGCATCAGCGAGGACCTGGAGTGCTACTCCACCGTGGCCCCCGTGTCTGAGGTCAGCATCACGCAGTTCTTGCCGCTACCGAAGCTGAGCCTGGAGGAGAAGGCCCGGGAGGCGGGCAGCAGGCGCTCCTCCATCAGCTCCTGGCTGAGCGAGATGAGCGCAGGCAGCGACGGCGAGCAGTCGTGCCACAGCTTCATCGCCCAGACGTGCTTTGGGCACGGGGAGGCAATGGCAGAGCCTCCGGCCTCGGAGTTCGTCAGCAGCATCCAGAACACAGCCGTGGTGTGCAGAGAGAAGCCCAAGGCAGGCCCTGACAACCTGCTCATCTTGTCTGACATGAGGGAAGACTCTTTCAACAAAGCAACTCCCATCAAAGGCTGCAAAATATCCACGCTGGGCAAGGCCATGGTCACCATCTCCAACACGGCGAATCTGAGCAGCTGCGACGGCTACATCCCCATGAAGACCAACATCACGGTATACCCCTGCATCGCCATGGGCCCCCGGAATGTCCAAGAGCCTGAGGCATCCACTGCCACCCCCAAAGCAGCCCCCAAAGCAGCCCAGTCCCAGGAGAGTTCGGAAACCAGTGCAAAGAAAGAAATGAAATTTGAGGACCCTTGGCTGAAACGAGAAGAAGAGGTGAAAAAAGAGAATTCTTATCCCAGTGAAGAAGGGATCAGGGATGAGACTACCACAGGCCCCACAAAGGCGGAGGCCAGATGGGAGCAGGAACAGGACAGGAAGCCCAGCCCGGGCGACAGGCTCAGCAGCAGCAGTGGGGAAGTCTCCGCCTCACCTGGGACCGACAACTTCAGGAGGGTTGTGGATGGGTGTGAGATGGCCCTGCCCACTTTGGCCCCCCAGAGCCCCGTGTATCCCAACAAGAGCATGAAGTCGAGCAGCCTTCCCCGTGCGTCACAGAAAGCCAGCAGGCAGGAGGAGCTGGACGTCCTCTTCTACCACTGTGCAGCGGAGACCAACGGCATCGGCGCGGCCTCGGGCGCCCAGCCCTCAAAGGCCACCTTGGAGAGGAAGGTGGCTTCCCCCAAGCACTGTGTCCTGGCTCGGCCCAAGGGGACTCCCCCCTTGCCCCCTGTCCGAAAATCCAGCTTGGAGCAGAAGAACAGGGCCAGCCCCCAGCACAGTGCCAGCAGCAGCGGCACCAGCAGCCCCTTGAACCAGCCGGCCGCCTTCCTGGCCAGCTTCCCGGACGAGCCCAGCGGCAAGATGAAGGACGCCAGCAGCAGCAGCAAGCTCTTCAGCGCCAAGCTGGAGCAGCTGGCCAGCAGGACCAACTCCCTTGGCAGGACAACAGTCAGCCACTACGAATGCCTCTCTCTGGAGAGGGCCGAGAGCCTGTCCTCCATGAGCGCGCGGCTGCACGCCAGCAAGGACAGCACCATGCCCCGCGCAGGGAGGAGCCTCGGCCGCAGCGCGGGGGCGTCGCCACCTGTCGCTGGTCCGAGCCAGTCAGCAGGGGCCTCGCCCAAGGCCACCCAGTCCAAGATCTCAGCCGTGAGCAAGCTCCTCCTGGCCAGTCCCAAAGCGCGCAACCTGTCCACCTCCACCACCAAGACCCTCAGCTTCTCCACCAAGTCTCTGCCCCAGTCGGTGGGCCAGAGCTCCAGCTTGCCGCCCGGCGGGAAGCACATGTCCTGGTCCACGCAGTCCCTCAGCAGGAGCCGGGGCTCCGGCCTGGCTTCCAAGCTGCCACTGCGAGCGGTCAACGGGCGCATCTCGGAGCTGCTGCAGGGCAGCGCGGGTGCCCGGGGCTCGCAGCTGCGGGCCCGGCCGGAGGCGGAGGAGCGCGGCGGGACCCCCACGGAGGACAAGCCTGCGGCTGCGCACCTGCTGCCGTCGCCCTACAGCAAGATTACGCCGCCGAGGAAGCCACACCGCTGCAGCAGCGGCCACGGCAGCGACAACAGCAGCGTGCTGAGCGGGGAGCTCCCGCCGGCCATGGGGAAGACAGCCCTGTTCTACCACAGCGGCGGCAGCAGCGGCTACGAGAGCATGATGCGGGACAGCGAGGCCACTGGCAGCGCGTCCTCGGCCCAGGACTCCATGAGCGAGAACAGCAGCTCCGTGGGCGGGAGGTGCCGGAGCCTCAAAACCCCAAAGAAACGGTCCAATTCAGGTAGGCACGGGGCACAGGGGTGCGGGCAGGGCAAGGGCGGTGTTGGGGAGAGTGAGTTGCCCAGACCCCAGCGTTGCCCTGTGCTGTGCAGGTGATGAGGGCGTGGCTAGGCCTGCGGTGGGATTGAGGCCTGGCCTCTCCTTTCCCCACAGCCTGTCACCCTGCAGGCCTCACTGGGGATGGATCCAGGCGGGGTTTCACTGTTAAAAAAAAAACAACCTGCCCTACTGTTGTGGGCATCATTAGGCTTCAGGCCGGGAGTGCCCCTTGGCCATCAGCAGGGTGGGAAGGCCAGGGCAGGGTGCGACCAGGACACCACCCCTCACCCACTGGCTGTGGGGACACTGGCTTATGGGCTGTGGGCTCCCCTCACCGTGTCCAGAGACCTGGGTCTGTCTGCTCCGTAACCAACAATACTGCGTGCCATTGAGCACCTCCTGAGCGACCCCCTTAGGGTAACTGCCCTTGTGACCCGGAGGATGTAGAAGCCCATGTGAGACTGGTGGCCTTTAAGACTCTGGCCGCCTTTCTCAGGGACATAGTGTGAAGCACAGTTTGTCTCACTGACAGTGCAACGGGAGAGGCCTTTTCTCCACTTCCACCACACACGTACATACCAGCATGCTGCCTTCGTAGGAAGTCCCTGCCATCTCTAGGAATCTCCTGCGACAGGCACGCTCTCCAGAAGAACTAATGTGTAAAGCCCACTGACTTGCGAATTAGAGTTTCAGGTGACATGTGACAGTACATTATGATGAGCCAGGAGAAGAGGACTCAGGTCAGAGCTGGTGCCCTGGCAGCCATTGGGTGGGTGAGGTGAAAGGACAGTAATGAGAAAATAAGACACAGAGAGACAAAAGGTGCCAAGAACAATTTAAGCCACTTGAGAATTTTGCTTGGGATCATCTCTGCTCTGAGATGGCTTCCAAAGAAACGGCTTTGGAAGCCGTTTCTCACTGAGCCGTTGCTCACTCTAGCCTGCAGACTCATTTTATTTTAATGAAACAAAATCTTACGCAGAGCCCCACGTGCAGTTCTGTGCCTTGGTTGAAGTGAGAGTGGCCTGGGGTCCTGCCACCTGGCCCGTCCTCTGCCATCCCACCACCCTTCTGTGGCATGCCAGGGTCTCCAGGAGCTCGCGGAGGCCCTGGCCCTGCAGAACATCAGTGTCGCCAGCATATTTGGAATTAAAAAATGGATGAAAGGCACAAGTGGGGCCTCCCCCTTCCTGCTGCTCCAGCAGCTGCCCTGCAGTCTTATTTCTCAGGCATGGGGTTGGTTTTTCCTGTTCTCCCACCACGGGCGAGCACAGGCTCTGTGTGCCAGCCTAGATGCAAGGGCTGCAGTCAGTGCACATGCTGAGCCATTTGTCTTCCTCGGGTCCAAGAAACCCTCCGTAAGGGACTGTGCAGTTTTATGTAGACAGCCCCATCCGCACAGCCCATCACAGGCCGCAGACCCCATCTGTAAGGATGCCAGGCTCTAGCATGGTGGGGAATCGCTGTGGCTGTCAGCGCCTTGACGTCTTTATGTCCCAGGTGGTGTGCACTTCGGTCTTTGAGATACTTTGTGCTTCACTTCCCCCCTCAGTCTAGGCAACAGACCTGGAAGCAGAACCGCGTATCAGACAAGCTGAAAATGAAAAGCTATTCAACACAATATAATAGCTGCTGTGTCCTCTTCCCAGGGCCAGGGGCATTGAAACGTGTTGATATTAGTTGCTAAAAATAACAAGAAAGCGGGAAAAAATCTTCTGGCTTTCCCAGTACCTGGCTGATTAAACCTTATTATAATCCACCCAGTCTTGTTCTTCACAGTCCAGAATATTATGTGGCATTTGCTGGACATGGTCACATGGGCTCAGTGTTAGAGTGCTTTCACGTACTCTAATTTAGTGCCTGTGTCTACCAATCCATTTCATCCTTTCAATGTCTTTTACTCTTTTTTCCCCCAACACTTTCATTTTTTGGTTTGGTGGTTACACTGGAGTAAAGAGGAAGAAAAACTGTGAAAAAACCAATGTGCAAAATTACTACTTGGATAGCAGGTAGCAGGCCCTGCACGTGCCCTTGCCCAGGCCGAGCCTTTTCATGAACGCTGTCCTCGAGGGCCTCTGGTCAGGGCGGGCGGGGAGGGAAGCGGCGAGCGGAGGACGCCGGCGCTGCCGAGACGGGCCTTCACGCACAGGGCGCCGAGAGCCGCGGGCCTTTGCAGCCGGCTGCGCGCATCCGGGGCTCCGTGATGGATGTGGCAGTGGGGATGTGCTCGTTTCAGGTTAGGTGACCTTGTCTCGCTTTATTTATGATTATTATTAAGAGAAATGCTGGCTGTCAGACATGATCAGCATAAATCAAAAGCAACTTCTTTAAGAGAAGCCATAAAACTCCTCAAAGGAAATTCCTAACTGGACGGCTGGAGTTTACAATGACGAGAGATGTTTGGAACTGCGGAGGAGACAGGCAGTTATCTTTTATCTGAGATGGCTTTTGAATTTGGAAAATGTTAATACTTTGGTTATTTGCTTAGTAAAAGTGAACTAGAATTATGGGAAAATAACCTTGGCCTATCTGATTCCTTTGTAGTACATGTGATAATAGAAACAACCAAGTGTCACGAGGGTTCCTCGTTTCGGTCCCCTTGTTGGGGAGCGCACAGGATCGGACCTGTTCCACGCGCCATGGCATGGTGCAGTGAGCAGATTGAGCTCAAGAGCAAGAGATCTGGGGTCTTGAGCTGTGTGGCCTCTTGGGAATAATTATCCTCTCTGGGCTTCAATTTTGTCCTATACAAGTGAGAAGATTGGTGGATGACATCCATGGTCTCTCTGCTGCCCACGTCATATGAGACTAGGCAAATAGTACAAAGAATACTGATGGTCATGTGACATCCTTTCCTTAAGTTGATCCGTAATCAGTGGGATTTACTTTCAGTTGTTGAACACCAATCAGGCACCTTCTATGCTCGATGAGCTTGGTGATACGGAAGTTTCAGGCACGGGGGCATAAGGGCTGGGCAGGCAGCACAGAAGACAAAGCCACTGTGAGAAGTTTGTAATCTAATTGGAGAAAAATGATGAGAAGCATGGAACAGAGAACACTGAACAGAGGCACATTGCCAAGCGCTGGGTGGCGTAGCGCAGACCTGAGCGGAGGAGCATTTAGACAAAGGCGGCATCCAGGGAACCAGAGCAGTTGACGAGGGCTGCAGGGACGCATCAGGACTGAGCTAGTCTTGAAGGGCGCTTACGTCTGCACAGGCGGGGGGAGTGGAGGATGGTGTGGGCTGAAGCAGTATCGGGAACACAAGTGTGGGGCAGCAGGAGCACAGCCTGTGCTCAGCTCAGCAAGATTAACTCAAGAAGGGGGATGTTCCTAGCAAGTGTAACAAGAGACTACAAAACATAAATACCCAGATTAAGTTATATCTGGGACATCTGGGAACTATAACAGAACACATTATTCTGCATTTTTCTACAGAACTATAGTAAGAGTATACAATATTGTGGTTGGAGATAGGGAGTCATCACAAGCTCTTGACCAAGAAAGTGATGAGGTGAGAGCAACTTGGGGCTGCTTTTCTTGATGGATTTCCATTGATCCATCCACAGTCCCTTGCCAGCCCACTATGGTCAGCAATGTGTGTCACAGCTGATAGCCTTGAACTAGAGCGATGACAACTAGCCCAAGTTGGGAGCAAGTGTCTGTCCTGGCCAGTGTGCACGTAAGCTGCTAAGAGGATGGAAATACATAGTTTATGCCATGGTTGTGCCAAATGACCCCCAATCCTAACACTGTCACAGTGCTCTCATCTCACCCATTACATACCATGTGAACTCTCCCCAGGCACTCTCCATCTTCTTCCTGTGGTCCCTTACTTTCACCCTAAACCTGGTGTGTTACCTCCTTGGCTTCTTAATCTCGTTTTCCTTCTTTCGGGCTGAATGGGGAAGTCTGGCAGTTAGATGAGCATCTTTGTCTGAATGAAGTTCATTCCCATTGCAGGGAGGCTGGGTCTGGTGTAACTCAGCATCCGAAAAGCCTAGAGTGCTTTGGGGAGGGTCTGAGGCAAACTACCCCAGGGAAGCAGACTGGTTCTGGGGTGTACCCAGGCCTTGATCTGCCTGGACGTGAGCTCTTGCAAGGTCTGTTCTGCATGTGGCTCAGCCTGCTTGGTCCCCAGCACTGAGCCGGTGCAGGTTACCATTGGATAGCATTGATTGATTCATTGGCTGGTTGGTTGGTTGGCAGCATAGTGCTAAAAGTTAGCTCATGTTCCTTCTCTGTGTCTTTCTCATATCTCGTCCTGGTGGTGATAGTGCTTTAATGTTCACTCTAGTCTTTCCTTTGTCATCCTAAGCACCAAGCATTGTGCCTTCCCTTCTCTTGGTGCTGAGTAAACATTGCAGACTGATGGGCCTGTCCTTTGGGTTGTGACTTGCCACTTGCAGTGAATTGAGCTCCTGGGATACCAGGCTCAGTTCACAGAACACTGCACAAATGCCTGTGACTAATCGCTCCTCACCAGGGCCTGAGAGCACCGTGGTTTGCTCTGCTGACCCTCTGCTGTCTGTTTGGTTCTCTGGTGTGTCCTGGTTTTGTTTTAATGAAACACAGTGGTCACTGGCTTAATGAAAACTAGAGGAAGGCAAGCGGCTTTCTGGTAGAGTTAAGATTTCCAGGGCGTTTCTAAGAGAGTTGACCTAGAGACAGATGGGAAAAGGTTCAGAAGGAGAGAACTTCTTTTGAATATACAGTTGGGAAAAAAGAAAAGTAACTGAGTCCCTAGAATACTAAGGAAGTGTCTCACAGTGGAGCTTGGAGGGAACGGGTAGAGGTGACGCATGTCCTGGGAGTGGGGCTGAGGACCACAGTGCAGGAGGAAGCCCAGGCTCTCCCCAGAGAACAGGTTTGTGACCCACAGACATCTACCCTTCTTATCCCCAGCATGGGGACAGTTGACTCTTCAATGAAAGCATTCCAACAGGCAGTGCCACCAATGCCATCCTTCATCTGGGTGACCATGGAGCTGGCTTCTTCTTGGTCATTAAAATCACACCCATTTATTCATATCTGGTCTCCTCCTCTCTGAGGTCTGCAGCTGTCAGCATCTGTGCCTCGTGCTCTGTGGTTCACTGTGTTCCCAGCAGCCACCCCGAGTCGGCGTGCCATGGGACAGGAGCCATGCTGGTGGGTCTCAGAGGCAGGGGTAGGGAATGGGGGAGGCATGTTCCCCAGGGAGTGTTGGGGGTCCTCGGCACTCAGAATGCCCGCGTGTCCTGACCTTTGACCTAAGCAGCAGCATCTTCAGACCCAGCGTGGGCACTTCTGTTTGGACTCAGTGACGCTGGGAACAGACAGCCCCAGGTCAGACTGCTCGCCTGCAGCTGGTAAATGAGATGGAGCGTGGGGGTCAGGGAGCCCCCTTGAGGCGTGCAGCCAGTGGCCAAGCCTGGAAGGGGCAGGGTGGGCTCAGCCTCCGTTTAGTGGGAGGGGTCTGGTTGGAGGCTTCATGAAAGTACCAGGACTGGCTTTCTCAGGTCAAATATGGCTATTTCACATGCAAGACTGTGGGCAGTTATCAGCCTCAGTGTTTTCACGCACTGGACCTGGACCTGTCCGGACTAAATGCTGGGCTGATGAGCAGGGGATGTCAAAAATAAGGGGTCCTGACCCACTGGCCTCAGGAGGAAGCTGGTTCTGGCTGTGTAACCCTGGATCAGACGGGCAGCGTCACACAGGCGCCACACGCCTCTGGCCGGGCCCGGCTGCTTCCCCACACCCTCCTCACAGCCGCTGCCGCCCGGCCCCACCGCAGCCAGTGAGAAGGTGGCCTGGATCTTGGCCCCTTATTCTACAGCGAAGGATTCTGGCTCTTCCTCTTTCTGAAGTCTCTCTGAATTACTTTAAGCTGTCCAAGGTTCTCTTGAAGTGGGAAAAAGTACAACTTCTTTCTAGAAGGTTCATCAGGCAAGTGGGCCACACTGGCTCAGTGCTAACAGGCAGAACCCACTGGAATTAGGAAGAAGAGTGGGGAGGAGCCGGAGGGGAGAGTGGAGAAGAGAGGCACAGACTCCTTGAGATTCTCACCTGCATGTCCCTAACCGCCATCGCCAACCCTGTGTCACTACTGCCACCTGGGCAGGTGTCCCCCAGGGCCTCCAGGAAAACCGCAGGGCCATGCAGCCTTCCTTCCCCAGGGCTGCCTGCTGATGGGTGCGAGCCGCCTCTCGCTCTCACTTGCTCTCTGTCCGGCGGGCCTGGGCTGGGGCCTGCATCCCTTCTGTTGAAAGCAGAACTTAGACTCCAAGTGCAGCCAGCAGGGCTTCCGGCAGACTCCGCCTGCTCTGATCCAACCTAGGAGGGGGCATACATCACTCAGAGTGAAATCAGATCACACTCCCTTCAGCTTGGGGACAAACCTGTTGGGTTCCCAACCGTCGCCTTCCAGGAGGAAGTGAGCCTCGGAAATGCCCCTTCTCCCCAGAAGGAAGCCAGACAGCGGTCTCGGGGCAGCGCCCAGCCTCCCCTCGCAGCGCCCAGCCTGCCTTCCACAGAGCCCAAGATGGGGGACACCAAACCTCCCAGGGCAGAGGGGTCGCACAAGTGATGCAAACACTGTAGCTTCCCAAAGCAAGAAGCACATTCCATCTCAGCAAGGATGACGATATCAGGCCTGGCCCCCAAAGGCCAGGCCACAGCTTCACTCACTCATGCCGCGGATCACAGGAAAGGTGGTGCTTGGGCCGGTGGCTCTTGCCCTGCCGATCCTGCGTGATTGCCTGCGTGATTGTGCCTGGCACATGCTAGGTGCTTATTAATGCTACTGCTGCTGCTGTTATAAGCAAATAAACAGTGTTTTCTGGAACTTCTATAACTAAACACCAAACACCAGGAGCTTTTCACATACCCACGCTGGGGTGTGCCAGCGCGGCTCCCAGCTCTAGGCGATGTGTGTTTGGGGCTGTGTCCCCCAGCTGGACACCAGGAGGCGGTTCGTCCTGAAGACTGAGCAGGGTCCCTAGAGTTGTAGAGCGAGTGCTGGTGTGAGGGTGGAGGGGGCAGTGTCTCGGATCCAGCCCTGTGCCCAGGGAGCCTGTAGTGACCTCATGGTCCCTTGTGTCAAAATATGTAAAATATTGAAATTCAAGAAGATTAACTTAAGCCTTACTCCCTTTCTCAGGTTCCCAGAGGCGGAGGCTCATCCCCGCCCTGTCCCTGGACACCTCCTCCCCCGCGAGGAAACCCGCCAGCAGTGCCGGCGTCCGCTGGGTGGACGGCCCCCTGCGGAGCGCCCAGCGGGCCCTCGGGGAGCCTTTTGAGATTAAGGTCTACGAGATCGACGACGTGGAGCGCCTGCAGCGGCGGCGCGGGGGCAGCAGCAAGGTGAGGCTTGTCCCCCCACGTGGTGGCGGGTCCCCAGCAAGTCCACGTGCAGGTGCCAGGGCCGTGCCTGGGGGAAGAGAGCTCAGACCCAGAGGGACGTCTCGGTGGGCTTCTGGTGTGGGTGGCAGGCAAGGGGGCAGGGACTTCAGAGAGAGCTGACACGTCCTACAGGCTCGGAGGCTGGGGGAGAGAGTGGTCTTGGGGGCTCCTTGAGGTGTCCTTGACCAGCATCTGTCCAGTGTGGGCACCATCTGCTTCCCAAATTTAGGGCACGCCTGTGATGGTCCCGCCTCATGGCTGGGTGTCTGGGCCACCTGGTCTGTCAAGGCAGAAGTTTGCCTGAGGCCACCCAGGTCCCTCCCGTCTGCCCAGCGCCCAGCTCCTTTTCCATGGACTGTTGTGGTGAGTGCTCCTCTCCAGGAGCGGTCGCACAGGCCGGATGTGAGCCACAGGTCCTCTCCTCCTCGCCACCCTCCCTATGTCCTCCTCCATCTGTGTGCTAGGAGGTTGTGTGCTTCAACGCGAAACTGAAAATCCTGGAGCACCGCCAGCAGAGGATCGCCGAGGTGCGGGCCAAGTACGAGTGGCTGATGAAGGAGCTGGAGACGACCAAGCAGTATCTGATGCTGGATCCCAACAAATGGCTCAGCGAATGTAAGGCCGGGGTTCCCTTCCGCGCTGTGCTAACGGGCAGCCAGCTGAGCATAGCTGGCCTGCGGCTGGGGCGAGAGCCAGCCGGGCTGGGGCTGCATCCGACCCGGCACCCAGGAGGGCGGGAGGGGCGGGGGCAGCAAGAGGGTGTGAATATTGCTCTTGCGAGATTATTGCCCATATGTCTCAGTTCAGAGCACCTGAAAATGAGATTTCCCCCCCCTGCATGTGGCAGATCACCCAGACATGAAAGCTGTGTTACAGATCTGCTCCTAGGCCACGCAATCACACTGCATATCTCGCCCGAAATAGACAAGAATTTATAGAGCTCTTAATAGGGTAGAATGTACAATCCTCAGAAAGCCTCACAGAGGACCCAGAAAGCAGGGAAAACATTTCCGAGTGAAAAAATAACAGCCACAGTGTGATTTCCATTTAATAGAAAGTCCAGGATGACAGTAACCGTCTCATAACCATTCAGAACAATTGTGCTGTCTTTGAAAGACAGATTCAATGGTCTCTTATTTATTTGTTCCTGACCGTTCCATTTGCCACAAAGTAAAACTGAAATCTGGCACCACGCCATTACATCGATACGGGACCAGTGCTGGAAGACTGAGTCTGTGGGTGACATCCGTTACTGGCATTAACGCTCCCTCAGCCTCCCAGCTCCGCGCGGCCCCCTCCCTGCCATCCCTGCCCGTGGGGAGAGCCCGGGGCAGTGGCTGGAGGCTCAGCTGTGTGTTCACCCAGGGACATGGGGTGGGAGTGAAGAAGAAAGTAGCAGGGTCTGTCTGAAAGTAGCAGGGCTGTGCCCTGCCACCTGTGACATCGTCTTCTAGCAGTTGCTTTTCCATAGGAATAAGGTGGTAACACTGCCCCTGAGCACCTCGTTGGGTTTTGGGGACTGTGGCCAATCTATGGGGCATCTTCCACGTCTGAGGTGCAGTGTTCGTGGCTGTGACCATGGTCAGACAGACCTGTTTTGGACTCCGGCTTTCCTGCATGCTAGCTGTGGGACCTTGGGCAAGACATCGAACCTCTCTGGGCCTTGATTTCCTTAGCCGCAAAATGGGGAGCAGAATGGCACCTGCTTCCTAGGGTGGTTGTGGAGTAAACTAGTCCATTGGGCACGTGCTTATGGCAGCGGTTGGCCCAGGTCGAGCGCTCGGTATCTGTTTTTATCACCCTGAAGTTCTACTAATGGACGTCCCCAACAGGAGAGACATTGCCTTAGTCCTGCTGGCACGACACACCGCGTTAAGTCCTCTGCTAGGAATCTGCACAGAGACACGAGCTCTTCTCCCGGGGGTCTCATCAGAGGTGCCGCGGGGCAGACGGGGTAGCAACGCGGACACTCGCTGCTGTCCTCCCCGGCGGGGCATGGGGCCCGGGCTGGCTTCTCTCCCACGTGCGGACCTTTTCCTTTGTCATGAGCCCAGGATCCCAGGGGCGCCCACTCAGTCAGTTCCCCTCCATTTTTACAATTTTCATTAAAATTTTATGTTTCAAGAGCTGTTTATGCCCAAGGCAGAATTGAAAATTATCTCCATCTTACAAAGTCGTGTCTTTTCCCAGGGTGGGAACGAGCTTAAGCACCAGTGCATGTGTGTTTAGTGCTTCCAGGAAGCAGTCGCTTCCTTCTGGTCTTTGTGTCAACAGTCAGTCAGTTTTTGATGTCGGGGAAGGGAATGAACAGAAAGCTCGATGAAATACAGACTGTTTCTTTAAGAAGACTGGAAAACGGGAGTGAGAGAGGCTGCTGCGGCCTGCGTGCGTGGGCGGCGGGCGGGCGGGCACAGAGGTGTGTGCCCGGGGCCACTTAGATTTGTACTTTTCGGTTCTGATGCCACTTTCAAGGTGGTCCAGTAATGTGGCCTGCTGTCACAGTACAGGGGGTTGTTTGGCTTTTTGTTTATTTATTTATTTTTTAATATTAGGCTGGTATTCAGGGGCCCTGAGTCTCCTTCCCGCTCTTGACTTGTCCTGATTAACTGTGTCACTCTGAGTCACCTCACTGTCCAGATCTCAGGGAAGTCATCTGTAAAAAGCTTCCATGGCAATCCCTGATGTTTCTATAGCAGGTCACAGTTTTCAAACCAGGTTCACATTCATTATCTCATTTTTGTTTTATTCACAGCAACTCAAGGTAGGTAGGGTAGGAACTTTTACTCTCATGTGACTTTTAGGAAACTGTGCCCACAGAGGTTGAGGTCACAGAGCTGGAATCCAATGGAAGTCTCCTGCCTTGAATCCCAGGCCGTCCCACCACCCTGTGGTCTGTGCCCGTCCTCCTGGTACTGGGCCCCCTACTGTCCCCCTATGGCCAGGACCAGGCCACCCACCCCTCTGACCAGCCACCTCTGGGCAGTGGAGGGGACGTGGGGCCAGGAGGGGTTGACCCCAGACACCTGCTCTTCAGGAATTGAAGGGCACAGACATTTCACCCTGCGCTGGCCTGAACATCAGGGAAGGTTGTTCAGTCCCAGCTTGTCTTCAGAGTTTAAAGAATCTTAATATAGATCTGCGTGTCGCCATATTTCCCAAATGGCCAATGAGTAGGAGAGACTGAACCAGGAAGCGCCGAGAGACAGGGTCACACTTTTCAGCCTGATAGGCAGCTACACGCGGCACGTGAAGGAGGAGCCAGAGCCGATGCCCTTTCATACGAGGAGGATAAACGTCACTCAGTGAGACCCCAAAAAGGGATGAGTTCTCCCCACATCAGCTTGCAGAGCTGCTTACCTGTGGGTAATAGAAAATAAAGGTGCAGGAGAATCTCCTCCAGGCCTGTGCTGGGGAGGCTGGGGGTGGGGGCGCCAGAATGTCACCTTAGTCCTCAGTAGAATCTGGAGAAACCCCGAGGATGCACACACTGGCGGCGCCGCTCCCTTCCGCCCGGGCCAGGCGGAGCGCGGTGCTGCGGCCACGCAGGGTCAGAGCCGGGCCGCGAGCCGGGCCGGGAGCCGGGCCGGGAGCCGGGCGGGCGGCGGGTTCCTGCCCGCCACGTCTCACCGGGCTCCTCCTCTTTTGCAGTTGACCTGGAGCAGGTTTTGGAGCTGGACTCCCTGGAGTACCTGGAGGCGCTCGAGTGTGTGACGGAGCGCCTGGAGAGCCGCGTCAACTTCTGCAAGGCGCATCTCATGATGATCACCTGCTTCGACATCACCTCCAGGCGCCGGTAGAGAGCTGGGCCCTGCCTCGGCCCCCGCTGCCTGGGACTTCATGGGGACGCCGCACGCCCAGCCCCCTGTGCTGGCGGCATTGGAGACAATGAATGAGGATGAAGGTTGGTGGCAGGTCTGGAGTGAGCGTGGAGCGGAAGGCGATTTTTCTTTTGTTTTCTGTAGGAAAGGTGCAGACGCCAAACACGCATGGAAGGAGCAAATGACGGGAAGGCCACGGGGTCGAAGCCCCGTGAGACTGAAAAAGCACTTTGAGAAACTTTAAAGACCTTGTTTGTACATAGAACTGCTGGCAAAGGAGACCCCGCTCTTCTCTTGCTTTCGTGAGGAAGGGGGAGGGCGGCTGGAGGATTGCTGTGGAAAGCGAACACAAAGCGACAAAAAGATGACCCAGAATGACTGATTAAGTGCCTTGCAAATCCTTATTATTAGCCAAACATTTATGTTCCTACTTTCTTGTGTACAGATGGTGCTAGTCAAGACGAAAACCACAAAACAAACAAAAAAGAAAATCACATTTTTGAAATATATTTACAGCTTGTTTTCTCTTGGTGTTTTATCCTATTTCTGACGTGCTGTTTCTGAGTAGGCGGTGTTTGTAGAGAGGTTTCCTGATCTGTGTTGCACCTGAATAAATGTTAACTGTCTCACGGCCGCTCGGTCAGGCCGCTGGAGCAGAGCACAGAGGCTGCACCGGCACCAGCGAGGGCGTGTCTCCAGAGGAGGTTTGGAGCAGCAGGTGACACTGGATGCCACCTCCCACGAGCAGCACAGCCGGCCGACTTGGAAGGCTGACCGCAGAGCAGGTGCACGGGAGCTTTAGGGAGCGGGAGAGGGGACAGGACTGGCATCGGGAAGGGCAAAGGAGTCCTTTGGGACTTGGCCCTGCCTTCTCCTTGCAGGCCCCATTGGTTCCGTGTACGCTCCCACGTCCTCACACTCGTGCTGGTTCCTTGACCTACACATCCAGGGTTTTCATGGCCCTCAGAACAATTTTCATATTTATTTCCATTCCAAAGACTCTGGATTGAAAGCTTGAACCAATTCAACAGAGCCATAGTTGTTTGTTTTCTAGTTTGTGAATGAAAGGGGCGATTTTTCCCAGTTTAGAGACCTGCCCAGGCTTATATAAAATATGTTCAGAGACTCCAATTGTATTGGATTAGAACAAAAAAGAAAGATTCTCAAGACTGCAGAACTTTCTTGCTGTCCAGAGTACTTACTAAAAACAAAAATTTCAGCTCTCCTGTGTCCCAAAGCATCTATCCCAGGAAGGGACAAGGCTTGTCCCCTCAAGCTTGGCACTCAAAGGCAGAGAGAGGTTCCCCGCTTAACTTGTATAACCCGGGTAGACAGAGCACAGAGTTCCGTGAGTGTGGACAGCCAGCTCAGCACCTAAGAACGTAGGACCTCATTCTCAAATCCAGAACTTCATTCCTGTACCAATTCCCTTGGGGATTATTATACCTATTTTAGTGATAGAAACCTGAGTCCTCCCACCTGTCAGCCCTTCCCACCGATGTAGGTGCCTAGGTTTTTGCATGGTGTCCTGTTCCGTTTCCCTCAAATGCATCCTGTCTTCATGAGCCCATTCCCAGCTAGGCTGCCCCCACTAACTCCTAACCCCCGCTGCTCCCCAAGGAAAAAGAACCTTTGCATTTCTTGGTCCATGTACCTCTGGACACACGTGGCCCTTTACTGAGCTGAACTCGGTAAGTGGGAACTGACGTCTCATGAGCTTCACGGTACCTGACCCTGTATCATCAGAACAGGGTCACATGTCCTGCTGGCCCGCGTGTTTGGGTCCCCAGGCCAGCTTGCACTGTCTGTGAGTGTCTGCTCCTGTGCAGAGCCGCACACAGGAGACAGACCAAAGCCGCCCCTGACCGGGCTGTAGTATGGTGAGAGGTTCCCCTCCAGCCATCACTGCAGCCCCCAAACCCAACAAGGTCGTTGCCCTGGGGAGCAGGGCCTCCCCGAGCTGCAGAGCCTTAGCCCCATTCTCAGGACAGCAGGTGGCTCTGGGCTCCCGGCGCTTGTGTAAGCGGGCTTGCTTAACAAGTTTTGCAAGGTTCTGGACCCAAAGGGAGGCCAGTCCTTTGAGTTTGGATTTGCCATTTGGTGTCCCTTTTGGTTGCTGGTTTGAAATACATCGCTTCATGAAAAGCCTTTAATTTGGGTATTTTCAAGGTGGGTGTCTTGGGTTTTTCTGTTATTGGCAACAAATTTATTTGATTAATCATCAGTGACCTTAGCTGTCGCCCCTGCCACATCCTCCCCTGCTGCCCCGACTTCCTCAGTAGGCCGACTACCGGGCCTGGGCCTTCCCAGAGGGAGACTCAGTGGCGTCGTCATCTCGCTCAGTGGGATCCTCCCTAGGGTAGCGGCCTCCAGCTGGCCTGCTGCCTAAACCAGTTCGTATGCGTTCATAGCAACTTTAGGATATGAGAAAAGGTTGCAGGAAACTGAGAGTTCTCTCACTAAGTCAGACGGAACATCTCGCAGGGTCCTGCAGGCCGTGGTGTAAGAGAACAACTTGGCATGGCTATTGTCCATTCTCTCTTTTCCTTTCTTTTTCTTCTTTTTTGGGGGGAGGGGAACCTAAATAAGCTGCAAACATCTTAATTTACCAAGAACCGATGAATCACGTAAAGAAACCATGCATTTTATGCTATGATGCACTTCTTTCTGGCTCTGTCCACAAATTAACTATAGAGATGACAACCTTCAGGCACAAAGGGAGGAAGTCTGGCCAGCTACACTGACACAGGCCCAGTAACTGAGGAACACCTCACCCAGTGACCAGACGCAAGGTAGTTCCAGGTCTCCTTTTGATTTTGGTGACAGATAACCCAAGTAGGCAAAGGGACTGTCAAAGAACCCATTTCTATGTCATCATCCACAAATGAAAGGACAAATGTTTATTTGAAATGGTCACTTAGACGTGCAAGCCTTAATTCCTTGTCTGAAACCTGTCTCCACACCCCCATTCCAAATATTAAGAGCTCAGTGCAAGGCGGAAGCATTAGCAGCAGAACAAAACTAAGAATCGAAAAGGGAACAGTGATGTTGCCTGCCCGGGAGTGCATCCACCACGCTGCAGTTCACGACAGCCGAGGGAGGGAGCGTGGGCTTTATCCTGGGCTTTCAAAATCCCACCTGAAAGCTGCAAACCTTAATCTTCTTGTCCTTGAATTTCCCTGTACATCCTGGGGAAGGTGTCTCTAACTTTCATCTCTTCTGGATTTTAAATCAGAACACCCTACCTGTTGTTTAATCTCCAATTGCTATTCTGAACGTGGAGGCTGAGATGCGGGTGCAGAGATGGTCCCACCTTGACACAGGTGGGACTCACACCCGGCACCCCAGGCAGAGGAAGGGCCTTGCATTTGAAGCTGGGATAAAAAGCCATGCGGCCCAGCATGGGGAATCTGGCAGGCAGGAATCTGCCCAGCTTGTTGTAAATTAGCCTTGAGCTTGAAATCCAGTGTGTTCCCATAAGGCGGCAGTGACTTAAATGCAACCACATATACCAGCCAGCGTGCTGGTTCAGAAAGTCTTACATACACACACAAATCTCACACTTGCTTGGATTTCTGTTCCAGTATTGAGGAAAAAAATGCAGTTGTGCCCACATGGGGTGTATATCACGTCCTCATAAACCAGCTACCGTCTCTGGGCCTCCTCACAGGTGTCACTGTGTGAAAGCCGCCGTCTGACCGCAGCTTCTGGGGACAGAGGCAAGGCTGGCAGGAGCTCGCAGGTCTGTCCAATGCAAACCCAGTTGTCAGAGTTAATTGGGGGATTAAACTGGTGGCACAGGCCATGCTGATCTGCAGTCGAGCCCTCCAAAATAATATGTTGAATTTTTTTAGGTTTCTTGTTCCAAAAAGGATTTGAGACTATGAAAGAAATGACTAAAGATGAGTTGATTTCAAAATTGAAAATGGGAGAATTTCTGAACTTATTCGTTATTCTTTCCTGGACTATTCGCCCATCCTCTGAGCATATACAAAAAGATTTCCTCACTTTTAAAGGCAGTCTCTCTTAAACCTTGCAGCTATGCAAGTGAGAAACAGGTTGAAAATCCTATTAGTTGATACAAAGGTGTCCAGGGCCACTGTCCCCAGGGCCTCCCTCTTGCTACCTGGGCATGTGGCTCAGCTTTCCACGATGCAAGGGGCACTTTTCTTCCAGGTGGGGAGGGAAGGGCAGCCCACTTTTCTCTGTACCAAATGAAACAAAGCTGGTCAATTTGGCATCACTGACGCTGTCAGTAAATGGGCCTAAAACTGGGGGGATAAGGGGAACAGATGGTATAGAGATACAGTGTTCCCTTGGATTTTAACATCTCTTTCTCTCCTTCTAGAAAATATCTGTCAAGATTTGCAGGTAAAAGCTTATAAATTTTATCACTTAGCAGCCAGGTGTGGTAACTGATACCTGTAATCCTAGCACTCTGGGAGGCCGAGGCAGGAGGATCTATCGCGGTCAGGAGTTTGAGCCCAGCCTGAGCAAAAGCGAGACCCTGTCTCTACAAAAATGGAAAAATTAGCCCGGCATAGTGGTGCATGCCTGTAGTCATAGTTACTTGGGAGGCTGAAGCAGAAGGATGGCTGGAGCCCAGGAGTTTGAGGTTGCTGTGAGCTATGATAACGCCACTGCACTCTAGCCTGGGCAACAGAGTGAGACCCTGTCTCAGAAAAAAAAAAAAAAAATTTATCACTTAGCAATCTTCCTGACAAAATAATATACCTATTCGTTATTTCCATAATAAAAGCATAATTCCAATTCAAGAGAAGCTATTGTAATTTAAGCTCATCTTAAATTTTTAAAAATTCCTAGAAGCTAATTTATCTCTCTGATTTCTAAACAAACACATTCTGCTTTTGGGTGGCCCTACTCAGAACCTGAGATGATGTCATACTCTTGGACACAGAGTGGGGCTTGAGGCAGTATCAAGCCTTCATTGCTTATAATGAAATGCAGTGTTCACCACATCCACTCGGACAGAGGTGGGTGCTGAAATACCAGCACTAACACATCTATTTTATGTACACATAGAAATTACCCCTCGAACTAAAAGTGGCTCATTCCTTCATCCCCCTACTGCTGACATCTCACATTGTCACATTCAATTTATGAAGAAGTTATAATTTATTTGTAAACTCAGGATGTTGTTTCATAGCATTGCTTGTGCTTCATAATTTATTTCTGTATCACAGTTGGAAATGCTATCCGAGTGCTATGCATTGGAGAGTAAGTTTTATAGGTCCATCTGTGGCTATGTTTTTTCTATGTTTTCCTCACTCTAGCGAAGTCTGTTAGTGGAGACAGGCTGGGAGGAGGAAAGGTAAATAAATCAGGAGGATAGGGATTAGGATCCAGTCCTTAAAGTACAGGGCTTAGTTCAAAATCTAAGCTGTTTCTATAGTGAGTAGCCTAAGGGGACAAGACCCCTGCATTTTGATTTTGATGATAATGAGCTTGGAAATCCAGCCTCTTCTGTGTGGAAGATGCTCCAGCCTCTTCCTGCTGGTTCCACACTAAATTTCTGAGAAAAGTGCTGGCAGTATTAGGTCCCTACGTTTCCCTAAGACTCCTGTCCCATCCCTGGTGCTACGGAAGGGAGTTTGGGAAAGCACCCAAAGGTCCTTACCTTGGATATGTATAGTACCTGTTTTATTCTGGAGAAACCAAAGCACTTTAGTGAATCTTGCAACCCATTATACTTAAGGCATCTTGTCCCCTCACTGGGTCCCTGAGAGGCAGGGAGGAGTTGGGGTCAGTAGTCTCATTTGAGAGGCAGCTAAACCTAGGAGCAAAAGCCTTGAGCTAGGAGGGAGGACACCGGGCTGCTGTGCCTGGTCCCAGTTGCTAGCTGTGCAACCTTGAGTGAGTCTCTGCACTCTGCTGGGCCTCAGGTTCCCCAGTGGAAGATTGTGGTCACGACAGCTGCCCCTCTGGGACAGTGTAAAGCAAAAATGGTATAACTGATGGGAAGTGCTTTGAAGAAATTAAACTCTATATAGGAGCTGGGGATAATCATTTATAGATGAAGAAACTGAAGGCAAGAGTGGATGGGCCCAAGTTCATAGAGTGGTTGTCTAGCAGAACTGGGACTTGAGTTTCCCACGTTGGACTCTTCCTATTAAATGGCGTCGCACCAGATGTGTGCAGACGTGAACCCTTGCATCGTCCCTCTGTGCTAAGGTGTGTGCACCGCCGTGGCTGCGTGTGTCGGGAGGTGGGTCATGTGGTGGAAGAGCAGAGGATGGAAACCTGGGTTCTAATTCCAGCTTTGGCCTTGGTGCATTACCTAACTTCTCTGGAGCTCGGTTTTCCAATCTGTAAAATGAGGACATTGTGCTAAATGATCTTTGTAATTCCCTTAAGCTCTGGCTCTGTGATTCCATGATTGGTGATGTACGTATGTATATATAAATATGCTTATCTGTAGAAACGGGCCCGCTGGAAAATTGGAGACAAGGCCTGCCCAAGTGCATTTATTGTGTCCAGAACGGTGACCACAAATTCACAAAATCTTGTTTTAAAATTCAATTGTAATACCTAATGTCATTGATTTAAATCCACTGTTTAACTGGACAGAAGATTGGTGCCATTTGAAAAGTTAAGTTCTTAGTTCACAAGTGTTTACTGTTAACATTTTTTAGTAACGCTCACTGGTTCAAGAAATTCAGCTATACTGTACTTGGGCAGGTCCCAGCAGCCTATTTGCAGGCTAGTTTTGTGCATGGGCCTTTACATAGCTATATAAAAGTTAACTGTTGGCTTGATCATGATAAATATGAGCAGGCTCTCTGCAGAACAGTCCAGAAAAAAGAGTTATAGTTCTCACAAACTGGTGACATGAATCCATTAAGCTGCGTGCCATTTCCAGTGTGAAGACATTGTTTGCTGGCTACGATCTCTGATTTTTGTGGCATATGAGGTGTAAAATGTTGTCAAAAAAGAATCTGGTGTTTTAAAGAATCAAACTATGGTGGCATTAAATGTTCACTTTTATTCTACCCAGAGTCACGAGTTCCTCTTTATACAGCCTACCTTTCTACACACGGGGAAGACAGTTCAAGGCCTGTGGGTGGGTTCTTCTTACTAGAGCGATGCCTGGCCTAGGCCTGCCCCATGGGACTTCCTGGGGTGAGGCCTGCCTAGCTCCCCTGTGGCCTCCACAAGGTCAGAAGCTCAGCTGGGAGTGAGTGGGGGTTGGAACTAAGTCACAGAGCCTGGAATTGTTCTATGTGCCTGCGAGTCGGGCCCTGGGCTAGTGATCACACACACAAGTGTTGAGCAACTTGGTCATATTTTTTGGTGGCCTCCCTCAGTCCAGTGTCTCTGGGGCTCGCCTAACATCAGGGCATCTGCAGTCACTGCAGATCACCTAGGCCCAGAAGCATGGGCCCCCTGCTAATCTGGTGCTTGTCTCAACTGAAACAGGTCACAAAACAGAGCAGAACTGGAAAAAGGTCTCCTAGGGTCCCCCCTTCCTCCAAAGACAAACTCTCTCCCTCCACTGCAGATATTTTCCCCCGAGCAGCGGTGAGGCACTTTCCTAGATGTTGGTGCCACATCTGTCCTGAGAGATGCTGGGGCTGCCACTCAAGCAAATGTGTGCTCTACTCCTGGCAAGGCCCCTGTCCCCTACTCTGGTGAGCCCTGGGCCTGCACACCTCCTGGGCCCCCTGCTTCTCTTCTCCCCAAGTCCTCAACAAGAACTTCCTGGACTCCCTTTGGGTCATAGGAGCAGAAACCGTGAGTTGAAAAAGCATCCTAGGACACAAAGCATGTCTCAGACAATTTAAAAATAGAAATTATACCATGTATCTTTTCAGAGAACAATGGAATAAAAGTAAAAATCAACCCTAACAGGAACTCTCATTTCTACACAAAGTCATGGAAACTAAACCTTCTGCTGAATGATCACTTCATAAATGAGGAAATCAAGATGAAAATCAAAAGATTCTTTGAACTAAATGACAAAGGAGACACAAGTTACCAAAACCTGTGGGACACAGCGAAAG